AAAGCTATGACGGTGCCCACCTGAGCATCCTCTCGCACTGGGAGTGACAGAGAAGTGACCGTTACTTCAGGGGTATTGTCATTCAAGTCCAGAACTTGCACCAGAACAGTGCAATGACCTGCCATGGAAGGAATCCCTTTATCAATGGCTTTAACCTGAATTTCATACTCATTATTCTCTTCAAAATCCAGTTTCCCATAAATTCTAATTTCACCTGTTTCTGGATTTATTGAAAACATACATTTTTCACTCATTGGCAAAATCATTCTGATTCCATAGGAAATATCTCTATTTGGTCCTTCGTCTAGATCAGAAGCGTTTAGCTGAATCACTCTGGTGTCGTTTGGGACATTTTCAAACAGCAACACTTTATAGCTAGGCTTATCAAACTCCGGAGCGTTGTCATTAACATCCAGGATGGTTATATGAATCTGAACAGAACCTGTTAGCTGGGGTTTGCCGCCATCCAGAGCTGTCAGCAACATATTTAGTTCTGGCATTTCTTCTCTATCCAAAGTCTTCCGAAGAATGAGTTCAGGCAATATACTTTTATCGGTTTTCGTTACTATTTTAAGAGTAAAATACTCATTTAGACTTAACCTATAGGTCAGAAGAGAGTTTAGGCCCATATCCGCATCGGAAGCGCCCTCTAGAGGAAAACGAGACTCGAGAGGAGCAGATTCAGAAACAAGTACCTTTTGTTCTCCTTCTCTGAACACCGGGGGATTGTCGTTAATGTCCTTCACTTCCACCTCCACGTGGAACACCTGCAGCGGCCTGTCCACGATCACCTCCAGGTGGATGCTGCACTCCGCACTCCGCCCGCACAGCTCCTCCCGGTCGATCCGAGAATTCACAAACAAAATGCCATTCTGCAGATTTACCTCCAGAAGATCCCCGCGTCCCTTGGACGCCACACGGAACAGGCGCGGCACCAGCTCCACCAGCTCCAGCCCCAGGTCCTGCGCGATGCGGCCCACGAAGGTGCCGTGTTTGGCCTCCTCGGGGACGGAGTAGTGGACCTGGCCGCTCCCCCACTCCCTGACTGCGAGGAGCAGAAACCAGAGTAGCAGTTGCCGAGCTTCGAAGCCTCCTTGCCAGGAAAACACCATTGCAAATAACGAGATCTCTGAGGTGAGACTCAGTTTTAAGGAATTGCTCGCCTACCGACATTTATGAGCAGTCTCCCCTTTCTGTAAGTATAAATTTTACCCAGCATTCCGGTCACTATGGAGTCGATCCTATTCTGTGAATGGTTGGAATCCGGGCGTGGAGATAAAATTTTCGCTTTTCACCTTTTGAGTGTATAGCGACATCATGTGACTGATTATGTAAGTACAAGAAAGATCCGGGAGTCTTTTTGGTTTAGCCACATTTTGGTTCATTTTAAATTTATTTAGACTTTTTAGATATTTTCATGGGTCATTTGTAAATACCTATTTATTTAATGTATACGATATTTTTAACAAAAAACAAATACTTCTATTATACTTCAATTTTTAAAATATTCTGCTTCAAGGTCTATTATAAAATAATCATTGAAATGAGGCATATCAGAAGCTACTCATTAGCTATCATGGACTTTAAAATAAAGAATAATATCCACCACCTCTGCCCTTATATCACATACAGTTCACAGCTGTAATGATTTTCATCCTTCACAAGCACTTCATTCTAAGACTTTAGGGGAAAGCCAAGAATTCCCTCATTTAGTAAAGGAAAAGAAACTTTAATTAATTAAAATAAAAAAATAAATTATTTTATCCATAAATCTGGTGAATATTAGAATCATTATAAATATGGGGGATATCATTGTTTTTGGATCCTTGATGCTCACATGTGATTACTTTTCATGCAACTGTTCTCATTCTCATAATATGTTGAAATGAAACTTGAATACAGATTCTGGAATAGTGTTTTCATGTAAAATGTTGAGTCAAAGCCTCCAAATTTTAGAGAATACTGAAGTGATAGTAGAACACTAATGAAAAGATCTCATGAAATGTTTTGGAGCCCAATCTTATTGTTTAGAGTCAAAAGAATATGAACTTCATAATGACTGTCTAGTTTCCCTCTAAATTGCTCCCTCCAGGCCAGATAGTAGTTACTCAGATTATGCTTCTCTTCAGAAAATCAGAATGGTGACTGTGAGATAAGGGAGAATCAAAAGACTTTTCATAATTTTACTCATTAATTCCAGATCAGCTTTAAGGGAAAACAAAACACAGATAAGATCCCACAGCTAGTTGTGAACAAGTAAACAC